GAGCCCCTCTCTGGGCTCAGGACTGGAGGGCTGCTGCCCCTGAGGTGCTTCACAGGGGTGGACCAGACTTGGTTGTCTCCTGGAGCCTGTGGGGATGGGCTGCTTGTCTGTACCCCTGTGGTGGGCACCCCAGGAGCAACGTAAGCAAAGCATGCAGGCATGGAAATCTGGGCTGGTCAGTGGGTATCCTTGAGCCTTAGGGTCTGTCTGGTGAAGAGCCATTCCTCAGCAAGGCAGACAGAGGCCTCCCACTCCTGTGGGTTTTCCGGGATCTGCCTCACTACTGGCGTGCAGTGCCACCAAGGTGCCTCAGCTGGGAGGCCCCAGCCGGCCTGGGGGGCATTGGCACAGGCGTGTGGGCAGGCCTTCGCAGGCTCTAGGCATGGTCCTGCCCCGGAGGCCTGAACCCACCGACAGGCTGCCACGGGCGCACACTCATTCTAACGTGTGTTTTCTTCCCTCCGCACTGTCTCTCTGATAGGCACTTACCTGGGTAAGTAGCCCTTGGCAGGGGGCTAGCCCAGAGCTGGGCCCTGGGGGCTGCAGGCCCTTCCTTCTGCCCTGCCTGGGGGCACCCTGAATGAGAAGGTTGTTTGCAGGTGGGGAAGGGCTGGATGGCTCTTCTGAACCTCAGGATATAAACCCCTGCCAGAGCACTTTGGGAAGACTTCCCGGGCCAGCCACACACCTCACTCACACACACGCCGCCCACGCTCACAGGAGCCCAGTGGGCAGAGGTGCCCGCCCACTTCCCAGCTGGGTCTTCACCCAGTGGGCCTTCAGAGCTCTAGCACTGAGTGCCTGTCGTGGGTGGCAGACCTGTGCTGGTGGGGTGGCTGTGACCTAGGATGGTGCCTTTTTCAAAGCTTGGGACTCCAGATCTTGCCCCCCACAGTGTGGAAGCCCCTGTGTCCTGGCCAGCTGGGCACTCCTGTGAGCCTCCATCAGCTTCTCACAGGGCAGCCAGCCCCAGGGTCTGTGAGGTCAGCTCCAGCCCCTGGGGAGGAGCCCGATTCAGCCGTGCAGGGGGGCTCTCTGGTGCTGCCATATTCATAGTTCGTGGGGCATTGCCTGGTCACCGGGGGAACAAGGCCCAGTCGGGGTGGGTGGGGGACATGCAGAGCCCCTGGGAGCTCCGAGGGCTCCAAGGCACCCGTGTCCTTCAGCCCCTGCCTGTGTGTGGGCTGTGGCTCGTGGGGGTGCGTGTGGCCCCAGTTCCCCACCTGGGTGGGCGTGAGGGCCTCACGCGCTGTCCTTGTTCTTGTCAGGTCTGGCGAACCACGGACAGACCAGGCACATGGTAAGGGGGCAGGCGGCGCGGCTGTGCTAGTGGGACCCCGGCCCTGCACACACACGGGCGCACGTGTGTTCACACAGCTTCCCTGGGCGTCTGGGAAGAGGCCCAGGGAGCCCCGCCAGGCCCTGCTTGGGAACGTGCCGAAGGACCAGTGGGACCAGAGGGGCAGGCGGCGGGTACCTCCGGCCCATCGTGCTGGGGCCGCTGCCTCGAGGTCACAGGGCAGCCCCCTCATGCCAGCCCTCTGCCACAGGGACCAAACCGGAACCTCCTGCTCAATGGGAAGCCGTACCCGACCAAGGTGCGCCTGATCCGGGGCGGCTCCCTGCCCCCCGTCAAGCGGCGGCGGATGAACTGGATCGATGCCCCCGATGACGTGTTCTACATGGCCACCGAGGAGACCAGGTGGGGGCCTGCCTGGGCCAGGGCAGCGGGCGGGCAGGTGGCCTGCAGGCCGCGGCGTCACACGGGGCGTCACCCTCCCCTTGCAGGAAGGTCCGCAAGCTGCTCTCGTCCTCAGAGACCAAGCGGGCCGCCCGCCGGCCCTACAAGCCCATCGCCCTGCGCCAGAGCCAGGCCCTGCCACTGCGGCCGCCGCCGCCCGCGCCCGTCAACGACGAGCCCATAGTCATTGAGGACTAGAACCCGAGGCCACGGCCCGCCGGTCTGGTAGTGCCCCTCCCGCCCCCGTGCAGAGAGCGGCTCCCTGGCGCTTCCGAGAGGCCCCTTGCCCTGTCCTGGGAGTGCTGGGGAGCCGTTTTAGCTTTGTGTTTACTTTTTGGCTGGAGCGGAGCTGAGGAGCCTCCGCGGCCCACACCGCCCCGCGGCCGGCCCACGTTTTGTTGTGTTCTGTTGAAGGTGCCATTTAAAATTTTATTTTTATTACTTTTTTTGTAGATGAACTTAAGCTCTGTAACTTACATCTGGAATGTTAGGATCGGCGTGGCCAGCGGCCAGCCAAGCTGCCTGGTGGGGTTGGCCCCTTGTCTTTTCAAGTAATTTTCATATTAAAAAAAAACAAAGAAAAAAAAACTTATAAAAAGAAAAAACCAACCAGCTCTCTCGAGTCTTCTGTCCTGGTCCCTCTCCTGTCTCGGGCCCTCAGGCCGTCCCCACCCCGCACACCAGGGGCAGAGCCAGCCTTGCTGCGGGTGGGCGGCCGCCCTTGGTGGGAGGCCCTCTGGGGAGCCCCAGCAGGCAGTGTGGCCCACACCATGCTGGCCTGCAGGCTGGGCTATGGGTTCTGGCCCAGTGCCCACCTGCAGGGCCCGGTCCAGTGTCCACCAACCACCCATGGGGGCAGAAAGAGGGTCAGCCAGGGTGGGGGGACTGGAGCTGCAGCCCCCACCCCAGCCCTACCCGGTGCCTGTCCAGAGCAGGCGATGGCTTGGACCCGGCCTGGGATCCAGACTGGCAAGTGCCTGGCTCCCCTGGCCACATGGCTCCCCTCCCGCCAGGGCAGCCAGCAGAGCTGGGTCTGATGTGCCCACCATCCTGCTCCTGGCAAAGCCCTGCCCAGCTGTCTGAGATTTCTGCTGGGAGCCACAGGCCACCCCAGCAGGTGTGGTCCCCACAGTGAGGGTCTGCTCAGATTCCAACGAGTCCTCACTCCTCAGAAATCCTAGCTCAGGCCGGCCCCTGCTCCCCAACCCTTGCTGCCCTCAGGGTAGGTGAGAGCTTGCCAGCCTAGGGAGGAGGGCTCAGCCAGGCCTTCCCCATGGGGCTCCCTCACCCCTCAGCCCCGAGCTGTGCCGCCTGTGCCCCCAGCCCTGTGAGGTGTGGACGTCTCTTGTTAAAATAGAAACCACTTCTGCTCGCTCGCTGGAGACAGATAAGGGGCGTGTTGGCCCCCATCCACGAGCCTGTGGTGGGGCCCCCAGCCACCAATTCTAATCTGCAGCACCCGTGTGTGCCCCCACTGCCCCTGGGCTGACGTGTGGGGTCCCAGCTGGGGGCTGTGGGACAAGGCTGGTGACCTTGACAAAGACCAGCTTCCCGGGAGCCGTGCCTGCTTGCCTCCCTCCCCAGGCCCGGGGCTTTCTCCCACCCTGGCCCACCGCTCCCCAACAGGCCCAAGGAAGGCAGCCCTCATCCTGGCTGAGCGCTGTCCCAAAGGCAGGCAGGCCCTGAGGAGAGTCAGGGGCCCCGCCCCACCCCAGCACCGTGCCTGGGCTGCTGGGGGGCTGAGCTGGGGCTGAGCTGGGGCTGAGCTGGGGCCAGAGGGAGCAATGGTCTCAGTGCCTAAAAGTGGGTTAGCCAGTTCTGCCCTGCTTTTGTAGGCTGAGCACAGGACTTCAGCCCCCACCCAGGGCCAGGAGCACCTCAGGCAAGAGTTGACTCCCCCACGGGCCTGCCTGGAGACCTGCCATGCCAAAGCTCCTCACCCTTCCCAGGCCTTCTACCACCCACCACAGCCCAGTCCCGGGCCCCACAGCAGAGCTGAGACTCCGTCCTGCCTATCTGCCAGCACTGCTGCGACACCATGCCACTGGCCCAGGGGAGGGATCTGCCTCCACACCCAGCCCCCTGGCCCAGCCGGGCCGCCTCGGGGCCCTGCGTACCCCTCTGGAAGCTTGCTGTCTTCGCCCAGCCAGGCCCCCACCCCTGGTCCCCACTCCAGCTTGTGGTCTGATGTGGTTGCTGTTGCTCAGCCTCCATTGATGTACCGATCTGTCAGAGTTCTGTCAGGTCAGGGGGCCTGCAGCCGGGCCCAGGGACTGCAGCTGGGGGCAGGGCAACTGTCTGGCCCGCTCTGCCCACTCCCTGCCCCCAAGACACCTGACCTATGCTGAGCCCTTCCTTCGCTCCGCCTCTCACTCTCCGGGCAGGTGGGGCTGGGGCACCTGTGCCCAGTCAGCCCTGCCCTCCGCAATGTCCTGCAAATTTCAGAGGCAGGGTGGAGTCACAGAGGGTGGTACCTGGGGCCCAAGCTGGAATGGGCATGGTAACAGGTGCCAAGTTGGACAGTGGGCCCATGAATTATTCAGAGACACAGGACTCCCAGCCGGAGCAAGGGGCAGGCTGTGAATAGCTGACCTGAGGGAGCCCCCACAGTGGCCACCCTGCCCAGGATGGGGACCTCTGAGGCCTCCTCTTCTGTCTCCTGCCTCAGCTGGCACAGGGCCAGAGTCAGGGTGCCAACCGGGAGGGGTCTGGTCAGGCTGGTCAGGCAGGCTTGGGGGGTGCAGAGTTCCAGGGCTCTCGTTCTCACTCACGGAAATGGCAGTGGCTGTAGGGTGAGTCCGTTGGGGGAGCCGGGCCAGGGTGGGGCCACACGAATGCCTAGGAGGCTCTGCAGGGCCATGGGACACCGACGCGCTCCCTCAAGCACTCTGCACACACACCTGGTGCCAGGGGTCTGGAGCAAGTGATGGAGGCCTGCTGGCTCCTGGTCCTCTGGCCGGGTAAGTGCACCAGGCAGAGGACAGTCGGGGGCTGGGGGTTTGCCGACATGGTGTCCCACACAGAGACTCACAGACATGGGGCCTGGGCCTGGCCGCCTGGGCTTGGGGGTCTGTCTGCCAGGCTCGACACTCAGCTGGGGCTGGAGGCCCAGAGGACCCAGAAGAGGAGGAGCCCCAGGAGGAGGAGGCCAGAGAGTAGGGGGGGGGGGTTGTCCCCCCAGGGGGTGGTTAAGACCAGGTTCTGCACACTCCAGGGTGGATGCAGGAAGCGATGGGAGTGGTCAGGCAGACCCTCCTTGGGCAGGGGACTGGGGAACCCTGGGGTGTCCTGAGTGCTGGCAGGCAGATCCTAGCAATTCTGCCGTCCTGGGGATTGCTTGGAGGCCAGGAGGCCAGCGGTGGTAAGCTGTGAGTCCTGAGCTAGCCGGCTGGGTCGGAGGAAGACGCTCAAGGCAGGGTTCTGGGAGGGGGGAGCACATAGATGGCAGGGTCAGCCCACAGGGGCACGGCACCTGCAGAAGGCACTTCCATCTCTGTGCCCCTTTTCTCCTGGCATCCTTACATCCCCTTTCCCACTGGGAGCTTGGGCGGGACACCTACCCTGCGCACGCCCCTGGGGTCCCTGATGCCGGGCATCCCCTGGCTTCCAACAATTTCCCGTACGCTGCTTTTGGAAGTGGCGGGCACCCTGACCTTCCCCGCTGAGCCTTCGGCATCACTGACTGGGGCAGGCGTGGGGCGGGGTACGAGGATGCGACAGGGACCGGGACTAGCCGGGTGGCCGCGCGCCGCCCCTATTCAGCTTCTCTCGCGATCCAGCTTCGCTCCCCCGCGCGGTCGTTGCTACAGAAACCGAGTAACAAAGGGCCGCGCGGGGTGGGTGTCCTGCGCGCGGCAGGGTGCTGGGTGGGGTCCTCCCGGGAGCCGGGGTGCCAGGACGGGGCATCCGTCTGCGTGGGCGCCGCCCTTCCAGGCCGGGCTCCGCGGGCCCGGACTGCCCCGGAGCCGAAAGGCCGCGGAGCCCCGCCCCCGCTGCCCCAGCCCGAGGCCCCGACGTTGCCGTGGAAACGCGCGAGGCACGGGCAGACGGGCGCCAGGCAGGGCCGGCCGTCCCCCCGCCGCCCTGGCAGGTGCGCCCCCACCCCTCGGTGCCCCCCACCGGCTCCCGGACCCGGGGGACGGGCTCCCGAGGCCCCTCCCCGGCCGTGGAGCCAATGGGCGTGCGGACAGCAGCGGGCAAGGCGGGGCGGCGGGCGAGGCGACGGCGGCGCGGAGACAGGCGCGGGCGGAGGGCGCGGACCGACCGGGTGCACCGACCATGGCCTCCAAATGTCCCAAGTGCGACAAGACTGTGTACTTCGGTGAGTGCCCGGGGCCGCCCGGCGCCCCGCTGCCCTTCGCGGTCAGCCTCCTGCCTCAGAGCCGCGCGCCCCCGCAGTCCTCGGCATGCGCCCGACCCCGGCCCCAGGATGCGCGGCCCCGCGGCCAGCTCGCTTAGCTGCCACGCGGGTGCGGCCGGATACTGGAGCCGCGACGGGGTTGAGGGGTGGCCACGCCCGAACCCGAAGCGGCCAGTGAGGGTGGGGCGAGGGCCCGGGGGCCCTGGAGTACGTGGTCCCCGGGAGTGAGGCAGGGTTGGAGGAGCGCCGAGGGTTCGCGAGCGCCTCGCGGTCCGACACCGGCGCTAAGCGGGCGGGGTCGGGTGGGGCCGGACGCGCTGGGCGCCTCCCGCGCGCTCCCTACTGTCTGGGTCCTTCCTCGTGGACACGTGGCTGGGCTGGGGTGGCCCCGAGTAGTGATTCTCTCACCCCGACCTCTGCCCACACAGGCCAGGCCACATCTGGGCTCTGTCTGCACTCAGCCCACGGCGGAAGGAGGGGGCGACCTTGGCCTCTACCTCCAGCATGTTCCAGCATGTCTGCTGCGTTGCCACCAGTTCCCCCAGGACTTTCCCTCGGGGGCAGGTGGGGTGGGGTGACACGCGGGTCCCCACAATCAGGAGAGGGCACTGGAGCCCAGGTGGCCAGGTCCCCTGCCATGACAGGAAGAGTAGCAGCTCTCAGCTGGGATGCCCCCCGGTAGGTGGCACTCCCAGTAGGCAGCATAGGCCCCCCTCACCGTAGGCAGCACCTGTTGGCGCTCCCCAACTCCCTGGCTCGCACCCGGTTACCCAATTACTCAGGTCCTCTCCTGTCCTCCCCCACTTTGCCAGGCGGCATAGTCCCTGCCCCGTGAGCACCCTCCCACCAGCACCGGCACAGGACAGACTTACTGCCCGGTCTGAGGACAGGGGTCAGGGTCTGCAGTGGGGACTGGCCTAGGTGGAGCTGCCTGGCCATGCCGCGGAGGGGTGGAGGAGGAGGCCCCGATTGTTTGCTGTTCCCAGGGGGGAGGGACCGGATTTGGCCTGGAGTGCTTCTGGGCTGGCTGGGAGCCCAGGGGCTTCCGCCACCTCCCCGGGAGCCCGCCAGCCCTCTGTTCTCATCCCTGAGAGGGCCAGTCCTTTAAGGCTGGGGTGGGGGACAGCCCCAGGGTCCTCCTGCCAGCCCACTGACCATGATTTGCCCCAGCCGGGCAGCTTAGGTCTGTCCAGGGCTGGGTCCTGGGCCGTCAGCCCCGTGGGCAGCCCAGAAAAGCAACTCTGCCTGTTGGGGTGGTGCTGGCTCCCAGTGGAAAACAAAGGCGGCTCAGACCAGGCGGCTTCTGCCCTGGCTGGGGGGCACTGGTGGAGGTGGGAGCCAGGGGCCTGGGGTCCTGCCCACCCCTCAAACAGGCTGCGCTCCAGCAGCCGTAACCGCTCAGTAGAAGCAGAGTGGAACCCCGGCCAGTATATCCCAGAGTGACCTCAGGATGCCATGCCATTGTGTCCCCAGCAGTGGTGCAGCTGGGTGGGAGCCAGCCCCATTCCGAGCCCCATCGATTCTGCCTGCTCAACTCGGGTGGTGATGTGGGGCCATCGACCTGCCCAGTGGGTCTGAGGGTCATTCCCCTGCCCCCCTGTGGCCACATCACAGCACCGGCCAGTGCGGTGTGGGTCTGGCAGCCCTGAACCGCAGCTGCTTCAGCCACTGCTGGCCAGTCAGAGAGCTGGAAGAAGATGCCGGGCTGGATCCTTGGGCCCAGCCGGCACCAGCTGCCCTGGCAGGGACTCAGGCAAGGGCGGGGTTGGCCAGCCATACCCCAGCATCCCTGGGTGGAATGGGCAGAGGGCTCTCAGCCTGAGCTCCCTGAGGAGGGGGGTGGGGCAGGGGTCCTAGAGACTGGCCCTGGCCTGGCTGGGCCCAGCAGATTTCACCAGGGCCATGGGAGTTGGCACTTGGAGCCCCAAACCTGGGCTACCAAAGGATTCGTTGCTGCCAGCAGTGCCCACGGCCACCATGGCTTGGTGTGTGTAGGGGGCAGCGGCCAGGCAGGGCCCCACTCTCTGCTCCCCCAGGCCCTAGGGAAGGCCTGGCCTAGGCAGTGACCTCTCTGAGGGACCAGAAGAGCCCCTGCTCCTTGGCCTCCTCTCGGAGCTCAGCCTGACTCCTTCCCTGGGGCTCCTCTGGCCAGGCCCCTTCCTTTCGGAGTTCCTGCTTGGTTCCGGCCTTTCTTCCTGCCCTCTCCTCTGTCCTTTCCTGCCATGCCCCCCTGAGGAGGGCCTGGCTTCTGCCCTCTGGGAGTCCCCACCACCACTTCTGAGCAGCCAGCAGCTGGGAAGGAGACCTCGGGTGCCAGAGCCGCAGCTGGAGGCTTGGGGGTGGGTTCTTGGGGCCGAGGGTGAGGAGGCCACACGCAGGCTGGCATCCTCTCCTTCAGGGGGACAGGGGATGGCCTTCCCCCAGGGGGCCTGGGGGCTCAGGGCTGCTCCCGTCAGCCAGGGACGCCCTGCCAACTCCATTAGGGCTGGACTGAGGGGTTTGGGACCTGTGTGAGGAGGGCAGGTGTGGCCCTGGGGAGAGTCACAGGTGCTTGAGCTGGGGTCCTGCTTGAGCACATGACCCCAGGCTGCGAGGTGCCCCAACCACATGGATCACAGGCTGTTAACTGTGGGCGCTGCAGCATGCCCACAGGAGACCCATGGCCCCGCCCTGACCACGCCTCCTGTCCCCAGCTGAGAAGGTGAGCTCCCTGGGCAAGGACTGGCACAAGTTCTGCCTCAAGTGCGAGCGCTGCAGCAAGACGCTGACACCTGGGGGCCATGCCGAGGTGAGCCTCTCCACACGCAGGCAGGGAGGGCTCCAGGTCTGGGGCTGTGCCAGGCACAGGCCCTCACCCTCACCCTCTGCCTAGCATGATGGGAAACCGTTCTGCCACAAGCCATGCTACGCCACGCTGTTTGGGCCCAAAGGTGAGCTGGGCCCCAGCCCTTTCTGTGTCCTGTGAGGCCTGGGGGTGACCTGTGTGCATCCTCGACCGAGCATAGACATGGGGACAGCAGGATGCTTGTAGGGGGCCTGGTCCCCTTCTCCCTTCGCCCATGGGGCCTCTCCCATCCTTGGCAATCTGGCTTCCTCCATGCCCTTCCAGAAATATGCCTCAGCCCACCAGTGCCCTCTGGGTGGGGAATCTGCCCCCACAGAATGGGCTGTGGAGGGCTGTGTGAGGGCCGGGTGGTGGGCTGGCCACTGGCCACCACTCCACAGTGCCCGCCACCCCGCAGGTGTGAACATCGGAGGTGCAGGCTCCTACATCTATGAGAAGCCCTCTGCTGAGGGACCTCAGGTCACTGGCCCCATCGAGGTCCCCGTGGCCTGGGCTGAGGAGCGGAAGGCGAGTGGTCCCCCAAAGGGGCCCAGCAAAGGTGGGCCAGGCTTGGTGTCTGGGGGGTGGTTATCAGGACAGCTGCACCCCACCCTGACCCCTCCTTCCCCCCAGCCTCCTGTGTCACCACTTTCACTGGGGAGCCCAACATGTGTCCTCGCTGCAACAAGAGGGTCTACTTTGGTGAGTGCCTCCCCTCAAGCCCCTGAGAGTCTGCCCTGGAGGGCCCGGGCCTCACCTTCTCCTCCCCTGCCCAGCCGAGAAGGTGACGTCTCTGGGCAAGGACTGGCACCGGCCATGCCTGCGCTGTGAGCGCTGCGGGAAGACGCTGACTCCGGGCGGACACGCGGAGGTGAGGGTCCCGCGGGCTGGTGGGGGCTGCCCCTCCCCCAGTAGTGGATCTGGTCTTGGCTTTGGGAGGCTGAGGCCCCGGGGAGTGGGGGGGGCCCTCACAAGCAGTAGGCCGCGGGGGGTGGGACAGACAAGAGTCTGCCCCGCCTCACCCCCACGCTGCACCAGCATGCCGGCCAGCCGTACTGCCACAAGCCCTGCTACGGAATCCTCTTCGGACCCAAGGGTGAGTGTGGCCGGGAGGCTCCCGGGTATGGGTGCTTGCCCTGCCCCTCCCCATTACTCTTCCAGCTCTTTCTGCAGGAGTGAACACGGGAGCCGTGGGCAGCTACATCTATGATACGGACCCTGAGGGCAAAGTTCAGCCCTAGGCCCCCAGCCAGACCCCACCGGAGCACATGGGCCATCTGCCCCCTGCCACCCCTGCCCCAGGGCCCGCTGTTTGGCTCTCTGGTGAGGTGACCAGCTGCCCGGTGCCACTCCAGCATGTCCTGAGTGCTGGGGCAGGGGGAAACTGCCCTGGGCCAACCCCAGACAGGCCCACCCAGCCACCTGTTTGCATCTCTGCTGCCCATGACCCTCTTCTGTGTCCTTGAGGCTCCATGTCTGTAGGTCTTGTGGCCCCACATGTCCCTGTGTCTGCGTGACCCTGGCTGGGTCTCTCTGGGGGCCACCCCACTCCCTCTCCTGCTGCCCTGTGCATACCCCACAGGGTTGTTTATGCTCCCCTGCTGGTGATGGCACAGTGCCCCCCACACACATCCCACAATACACACACACCCTCGGTGTTCCAGAGGCACTGCCAGCCTCCCACACTGCCTTGCACAGCCTTCCTGACCTCCTCACGTGGTTCATGCTCAACTGCTGGGAGTTTTGCCGTCAGTAAAAGGTTTCAGAGTTGCAGGACCCAGCACTGTGTCTGCTTGTGGGATGGGCATGAATGTGGGACAGAAAGCCTTTGTCCCAGCACCCTGGCCTCAGAGTAGGTGGAGGCTGGAGGGCCTCCAATGCTGAGGTGGGGTGGGTGGCTGAGGGGTCCGATGAGGTGGAGGTGGGGATGGGAGGCATCTTTCAGGAGTCCTGGTTCCCAGAAATGCCAACAGTGGGCATTCGAGCCAGGAGATGATTGGGTCCATCAGAGACCCAGAAGTGAAGAGAGGTCAGCCTTGGAAAAGAGAGCAGAGAACATGGCATGTGGAGGAAGAGGACAGGTCCCCAGGGTCCTCTGCAGGGACAGGTGGGCGGGCGTTCAGCCCAGGACAGCCTAGACGGACAGGGTTTAGAATGGGGCGTGAGGTGGTGGTGGGCAGGCTGACAGGCCTGCCTCCGCATTGCTGGAGCGCATGGACGGCAGGAGGGTAGCCTCAGATCCGGTCCTGGGGGCTTGAGTTCCCTGCCCAGGTGCTCCTCCCAGCCAGCAGCCCCAGGGGCGCCTCCTGGCTGCTCACCTTTACCAACTGCTCCCAAGAAGCCACCAGGGGGCACACCTCCCCTTCCACTTCTGGCAGAAAGCCACTGCCTGCCCTGGGCACCTCCCCACACACAACACCGCCGCCTCGGGCTCCAGGTGTGGTCACCGTGGGCTCCTATGCCCTGCACCCCAGGGCCAGCTCCCCATGCCCCAGCCCTCATGTAGGCCCTGCAGCCCACTGGCCCATTATCCCGCCGGCTGCCATCCATGTCCCCGGGGTGGATCACAGGCTCGGGTGTCGGGCAGTGCCAGGTTCCCTCCTGGCCAGTCCGAGCCAGGTGCACAAAGTGGGCGGCAGCATCTCCTCCCACCTGGCCGGTGCCAGAAATGCAGCCAGAACGTTGAGGGCGCTGGCCGGGGGCAGGGGAACAGGGTACTGGGGATCCCAGAGTTGCCTGTCCCGCACCCCAGGCAGAGCGGTGGGGGCAGGTAAACGCCACCCAGCAAGTGCACAGACCAGGTGCCCACCTCCTGCTGGGCAGGGATCCCTGGTTTGGGAGCTGTTTGGGGATACTCAAGACTTCCCTGAGCGCCCCCACACCCGCCCTCTCTGGGTGTCAGACGGGAAATTCCTGCGCTCTGGGCAAAGAGGAGCCGCTGAAGGCGCAGCAGGGCCCCTCCCTCGGAAGTCTTCAGTGGAAACTATGCGGAGGACACGGGGTGGGGGGGTGGGTTGTAGGGTGGGGAAGGCAGCGCGCCCTTCCCCAAACCCGGGGGAACTGGACCTGTTTGTGGGCAAAGGCCCCTGGATGGCATGGGGGTGAGGGGTGTAAGGTAACTTTCAGGGCAAGTTGGCCCTGGCCCTGCCTGAGGCGCAGTGCCCCCCACCCCCCGGGCTGGCCAGGAAGGGTGCACTGCCTTTCCTGAGGGCTGAGGATGACTCGCCACCGTGTTTGTTTCCAAGAGTTGTCATAGAAACCGGGGCGGGGCCCCTACTGCCGGTCCCGCGCTCGCTGGGCGCTGCCCGGGCCCCGTGGGCTGCACCAGCTCCGGGAAGCCTTTCCCCACAGCCAGGTGCTTCCCCGGCATCCCCCTCAAGATGCAGGGGCGGAGGGCATGACTTCTGTATCCTGCCTTTTCCACCTCCCTCTGCCCGGCCTCCACCCCATCCACCCCGCCGCCCACACCCTGCCACTGAGGCAGCCCTGAAATGCCTGCTGATCACCTAGCACCCCGTCCAGAACCCCAGGGCTGTGCACGGCCCCCCGGCTTCCTTCTCCATCCTCTCTAACCACACCACACCTTCCATAGGTCCAGTTTAACTGGCCAGGTCTCTCCAAGCTTCCCTCAACTCCTGCCGCCCCCACCTCTGTCCTGGTGCCCTCAGCCAGGCACCACCACGGGGCCTGCTCTGCCTGCAGCGTCCCCTGCCCCACTTGCCTGAGGCCCAGCTCCTCCTGCCCATGCCCTAGACAGACCCCACCCCACCTCTCCCTTGGGGTCTGTCCAGCTTCCCCTGGGCCCGTGACTCCCGGGATCAGTCCTGGGCATCCCTTCCCATCATGGAGGCTCCCCATGGACCCATCTCGGCTCAGACTAACCTCCCTGAACTTCTTTAGGACTGGAGGGGCACAACTCCTGCCCTTGGGTCTAAACGCCTGGCTCACTGACCACTGGCTGAGCCCATCCCCCCCACCCCTTCCTGTGCCAATGACCCTGGCTCTGGGCTGCTGAGGGCTGGGCCAGGCAAGGACTGGGGCCGAACAGAGTGGCCAGGTGTGAGCAGCACATTTTCCCAGGGCCTGGCTGGCTACAGGGGGTGGTGGGTGTACAGCCCATGAACAGGCCCAGCTGCTGGACTGGCCGGTCTGGAATTTGAGGCAGTTCTGTATGGGTTTTGGCTTCAGGACATAGAGATTCCTGGAATGAATGAGGCGCAGCATGGTGGGGGAGGAGTGGGCAGGGGCACCATCTGGCCAGGCCAGGGACCCCAGGCGGGCTGGCTGAGGAAGCTCAGTGTATGCACCCCAGCCCCTCCACTCCATCTCTCTGCAGCCACTCCCGCTTCCCAGAGAGGGGAAGGGCCTCCTGCCTACCTGGGCTGGGCGAGTTCCAGGGTGGCAGCAGGGGGGTCCTTCTGGGAATGCAGTTTGGCCCTGCAGGCCCACCCTAGGGCAGGACCTTGGGGCAGACAGGGTCCCGAGAGACAAGCTGCTGAAAATAGGCCCTGGGAACGGCTGAGTGTCAGTGACTCAGCGGGGCCTGGGAGAGGGGCAGGGAGGGGTGGGCCCTGGGGAGGCAGCAGGCCCTGGACCAGGACCAGTACTTGTCCCGAAGTGTGTGTGGGCCACACAGGGCACCTGGATGCAGGAACCAGACTGGCCTGAAACCCTAGGGGGGACATCCTTGCACCGTTCACACCCTTGGCTCATCCCCACTCCTTAACCCATCCACGCTGAGGAGGGGGCTTGGGGTGGGGGCTTCCAGACTGGCAGGGAGAGGGCAGAGGCAGTCGCCACAGTCTGTGCAGGGGAGTGGGGGCAGGCGCGTTGGGGTGGCTCTCCCGCTGGACGGGCGGAGCTCCCCGGGGGTGGGGGCCGGCGGCCAGCCCTGCAGTGGTTCCTTGGAGGTCACTGCTGCCCTGTCCTGCCATGGCCGCATCTGGAATCACTGTGAAGGGCAGGGTACTTCCCGGTTTCCACTGGGGTCCCCTGCTGAGCCTGGCGGAACAGGAGCAGGCAAGGGTGTGGCAGGTGAGCAGGTTGAGCTGACTTCTGCCAGGGCACCCAGGAGCCTGCAGTGGCCTCCCCCAGCTCTCGGTGCCCTGGGGAACCTTCATGCTTTCCTGGTGTAGGGCTGGATGTTCTGCGCACAGAAGCAGCCTGGAGCAAGCAGCTGGGTGGCTGTGTCCCTGTGCTGGCCACTCTGTCCCTCACACTCCAGACGTGGCCCCTGACCCCTGTGCCTGCTGGCTGGTGCAGTAGGACCGTGGTGTGACAGCAGGGGAGGGCAAGGTCAGGGCCTGTACCTCAGGGGGTTTGAGGGGTTCACTGTGTCCTCCATTTGTCGTGTAACAGATACCAACAGAACCTCGAAAGAGTTGGGCAAGGGATGGGGGTCTGGGCAGGGTAGATTTGGGGCTTAAATTGGCCTGGCGGTCCTGAGCCAGATTGAACCCCTGGGCCAGTCAGTGCCCCTCCCCCACAAGCACACCCTGGCCAGATGAGCTGATAGAAGCAAGCGGCATCGCACCTGGTGAACCCAGGTCTCCAGGGAGGCTGTCAGGATGGCACCCCTCCAAGCTTCAGATGGGGGTGTGCCTGGACATAGAATCTGGGGGGAGACAGGAGCTGTGCACCCACTACAACCCCTGGGAACTGGACGACTGCAGCGGATGAGCGGTCCCCACCCTAACAGGCTGGCAGGACAGTGGAGAGCTGGTGGAGTTGGAGGGGCCTGCCGGTTGTGGCTGAGGGAGCTTTGGGAGGGTTCCAGAGAGGGAGGGAGGGAGTGTGTGTGTGTCTGAAAAAACTGTGCTAGTACCAACCAGAGGGCAAGGCCCATTCCCTCCCTTGGCAGCCCCCAGCCCCACCCTGTGGCCATGGCAGTGGCAGTAACAGCAGAGAAGGCTAGGAAAGGGCACCTCACCCTGGTTTTCGAGGGGAAGCTCCCCCCAAGGGGCAGAGCAGTTTGGAGTCCTCGTGTGGGGGAGGGGCCGCCCTTGCCATGGGGCAGGCTGATAGCAGAGAAGACAAGTCTGCCCAGAGTCTGGGTGGGCGGGACAGAAACATGAGGAGGCAAGTGTCCGAAATGGCCTCCTGCCTACGTACCCCAGAGACACCCGGATGGACGCACTCACACATAGGTGTGCCCTAAGGCACCCCCGTCATAGCCATGCCCACAGGCTCCAGGAGGCACCCCCACGCACACCCCCACGTGCACAGCCAGGTGCTGGTGGCTGGCTGTCAGCCTCCCATGCATCTTCCCGTTGGAGACAGAGGCAGCCTCACCCTGGCGCCCCCAGGCCTCCAGCCAGCACACCTGTGGGCAGCCGGCTTTGGAATTGCGAGTGTGTGCCCGGAGCCCGAGGGCCCTTTGTGACCCCGCTGTCTCCCAGGCCGTCCTGGGTCCTGCCCTGCCCCTTTCCGTCACCAGGGGCACCCTGCCGCACCGCCAGTCTATATTTTTGCTCCGAGTTGTGCGGGGCCTCCGTGGCCACCGTCTCCCTGCCCCCCTCCTGCTCTCTCATCCCGGCCTCTTGCCGATCTTGTTGCCAGGAGACGAGAGAAGTCAGGACCCACCCTACTGCTCCAGCGGTAGCCCAGGGGCCCCAGGGAGACACCAATGAACAGGTGTGTATGGGGGGACTGGGCAGGGGGCCTGACCTCCAGAGGGGCAGAGAGGGCAGTGGGCTGAGACATGACAATGCGTGTTGAGGAGTCAGGGCCAGGTCCGGCCAGGGGCAGCGGCTGGGAGACTGGGGGATTGCAGCAGTGCGCGCACACTGCTTACCAAGGGCGGTGAGCACCTGCCACCTAGGGGTCCCAGGGTAGCGTATGATCCTGGCAGAGCTCCAGTGAGGGTCAGAACTGTGTCCTAGTGGGGAGGGGTCCAGGGAGGGAGGCTCAGGAAGCAGGTTGTGGGGTAGTGGGTCTCATGTGCCACCCTCCCACAGGAGACTCACAGGGGACCACCACTGCCCTGGAACCCTGGGCCTCACGAGGGACGGACCAAGGGCAGGTGGGGTGGAGGGCTGGGATGAGACCCATGACTTCTCTTCCCTCTCCTAGTGCCAGGCCAAGGGGCCTGAGCAGGCAGCTGGGCTCCGGGTGGAGGAGATCATGTCACTCCCTGGGTGCTGTCAAGGCCGAGTCTGTCGGAGGAGGGTCTCCAGCACCCTCTGTGGGGACGGGGCCTGGAGAGGCGCAGACATGACGTTTTGTTTTTCAAGTTGGGTGTGTGGAGGGGGGAGGAGGTCACTGCACGGAGGCAGGGCCGACGGCGCACAGGAGGGGCCCATGAGCTGGAGCTGGGATGGAGAGAGGCGCCCAGAGGCTGGGTGTGGTTTCTTGGTGGGGGCCAGCACCTGCAGGATGGCGAAGAGGCCACAGGGAGAGGGCAGAGCCCCTCTGCCATCAGAAAGGGAGGTGGCCTGGGTGACGGTGACCACCGGGGAGGAGAGACAGGCCAGGAGGTGCCCTCTAGGACACGGATTCCCCAGGAGGCTGGAACTCCACCAAGGCTGAGGCGGGGTGGGGGGCGGCAGAGGTTGGCCGGAACCCCGCAACCGGCGAGCGCCAGCCCCTGGAAGCGCTGGGTCGGATGTCTCCGCCAGGCCCCGGAGGCAGGCCCGCCCTCCCTGGGCTGCGGCCTCGACCGCTCCCCGCGCTCGGAGTTTCGCACGGAGATAAGCAGCGCTCGCCGCCCGGGCGTGGTCACCCCGCCTTTCCCGCGGAGCCCGCGCCCCCCAGCCGACCCACGGGGGACGCCCCCTCTCCGGGTCCTCGCCTTCGAATTCCTCGGGGCCGTCCCTCTGCGGTCCTTGAGCCTCCCTCGGAGCCGAGTCGGGGGCTCCCAAGGAGGGCGGGCTGCTGGGCCGGGGCGGAGCGCCGCGTGCCGCGAGGGCCGGAGGGGAGGGAGCTCCCGGCGGGCGCCGCACCTGAGAGCGCCGTCTCCCCGGGGGAGGGCCGGGTCACAGTGGGTGGGGGGCTTCCCGGCGCGCCGCTGTGCAGCCATTCACGCTTTGGAAGGGACCGGGCCCCTCCCCGGCTCGTGCATATTTGGGCGCCCCGCAGGTGCCGGCGGGCTGGGCCGGGTGCGCCTTCCCGCTCGTGGGGAGCCCCACCCCTTCGGTGTGTCCCCACGGATCCCTGCGCCCCTCGGGCCCCGCTGGGCCGTCGGCTGTAGCCGGCCCTGCTCGGAGGCGGGGCGGGTCAGATGACCTTCCTCGGCCGTTTGGCCTGGAACCGATGTCCCGGGGTCCAAGTCCCAGACTCGGGGCGGGGCGCGAGGGGCGGGCCTCAAAGGGGCGGGGACCCGGGGTCCCTGAAAGGCGCGCCCTCGGTGGGAGCGACCCAGTCCTCGCTCACGTCTGCTTCCGCGCGGCTCTCTGCAAGGACCCGGCGCCGCCATGCCCAAGTGCCCCAAGTGCGACAAGGAGGTGTACTTCGGTGAGCGCGTCCCCGCCGCCCCGGGCCTGAGCGCGGTGCCGGGGCCGCCCCACGGGGAAGCGCGGCCCGGGCCCGGCAGCGGACACAGTACCGCTCCGGCGTCGGCTGGCCTTGTCCCGGCTGCCGCGGTGGCTGTGCCCGGCTGTTCCTCTCCCTCGGCCCCGCTTGGCCTCCCCCACGCTGGGTCTCCCCATCTCTCCCGCCTCCCCTCGGGCGCGCCCTGGGCGGGGACCCCGCTGGGTAGCAACGCTGGGCTCCGGCTGCCCCTCCCAGCGCTAAGTGAAAACGGACGCGGAAACTGGCGCCCGGGGCGCTATCCCAGGACGCCGCTTCCCTGCCCCGCGCCCGGGGCCCACGCAGGGGAGGGGCGGGAGGAAGTGGTAAGTCTCCTGCCTCCGCCCAGAAGGGCGCCCCTGCCCCGGCAGCAGGGCCCACGCCCTCCTGACCGGTGCCCCACCCACTGGTCCGCGAGTACCGCGGCCGCCGCCTCCAGCCCCACCCAGCACTGGTGCCTGGCTGGATGGGCGAGGGGACGTGGAGGTGCCCCTAACTACCCATGGAGCACCCGTGGGGCCCACTCGAGGGCCGGCTAAGACCCGAGGTGGGCCGCCCCGCCTGTGGGGCCAGGCCTTGGGCAGAGCTGGCTGGAAGCGGGGTGTGTCCTGTGTCCCCAGAGCAGTGTCCCACAGGGGGCTTCTCTGTGCCTGTGTAGCTGAGCGGGTGACCTCCCTGGGGAAGGACTGGCATCGGCCCTGCCTGAAGTGTGAGAAGTGTGGAAAGACGTTGACCTCAGGGGGCCACTCTGAGGTAGGTAGGGCCTGGGGGGTGGCCAGGCAGGGTGCAGGGCTGACAGCCCCTCACGGCTTCTCTCTGCAGCATGAAGGCAAGCCCTACTGCAACCACCCCTGCTACTCGGCCACGTTCGGGCCCAAAGGTAGGTCCCCCCACGCCCGGAGACCCCCGTGCCGGGCCGCCCTGCCCCCCAACAGCCCCCTCTTGTCTCTGCAGGCTTTGGGCGGGGTGGAGCTGAGAGTCACACCTTCAAGTGAACCAGGTACACCCTTTCCCGCCCAGCCCATCTGGACCTCAGGGTGAGTCCCCTCACCCTGGACGGGCTCTCACGTCTGACCTGGTCCCTCTCTCTCCACAGATGGTGGAGGTTCCATCTCTGGCTGCCCGACCAAGAACAATTCCTCCAGGCTGATGCCAGGCCTTACCCCCAGGCAGCTGGGGCTCTCCTGTAGACCCCCACGCCCTCAATAAACCCCAACACTGGGAAGATCTGCCTGTGTGCACATGTGTTGCTGGGGAGCAGGGCAGGGGAGCTGAACCTGTAGGCTCTGACACCTGGCCTGCCAGGGCGTTCACCTTTCCTGTCACAGCGGGCCTTAACGCCCATGGCCATGGGCTGCCCTCCCCCCCGCAGGGCAAGCAGCCTGGACGCTAGGGACGGCCCCTCGCCCAGCCCCAGGCCCAGGGAGGCTCAGCTCTCCAGCTCCCAGAAGCCCAAGTCCTCCTCGTGACAGTTAAGGGATGAGGCAAGGGGAGGGCCTGTGGGTCAGCGGGAACAAGATGCCTGGAGCCGCAGGGCGGGTGGGCCACAGGGTGTCAGCTGAGTTCACGCTGGTTCCTGTTTTTTGAGAAGCTGTGGGGGAGTTTGGAGGGGTCCTCTTTTGCCCTCCCCACTTCGTGCTGCTGCACCCTTGTCCCCATTCCCCACCTCCACCCCACCAGACCAGACTGGACCCGTGTGTTCCTGCAAGGTGTCCGCCCAGACGCCACCGCCCTCATGTGGCCCCACTCTGTTGCCGAGGGACTGCCTGGTGGCCAGCTGCCAAAGAGGAGTTTGAGGACTGACTGGGCAGTGACAGTTGGGGGCTTTCTGGAAATCTGCCGGTTAAGTCAGGCAGCAGCTGCAGACTGGGCCACCTTTAGAGCTGGCCACATTCCCCCCACTGGCCACTTACACTTTGTCCTTGGCAAATGGCCCCCTTCCAAGGACAGCCCAGCCCAGAGCTTTGCTGGGGGCCCTGTAGGCCTGAGTTGGCAGCGTGTAGGTGGGAGTATTCTGAGGCAGGAGTTGGAGTGCACCTGGTGATGGGGGCAGGTGTTGAGGGGGAGCCGGGTTCTCAGTGGACCGTGGTGGGATGGTGGCTGGCTTAGAGATGTCCTTTGTGGGTAAGGGGACTGGGGGCTTTGAGACTCAGCAACACCTTGTGGCCACAGTGAGTCAGTGGGGGGCAGGTGCAAAGGAAAATGGCCCTGAGCTTTTGGGGGAGGCTCTGCACACTGCCCGCCCCGTGGCTCCACCCAGGCAGCTGGGGAAAGTGGTTGAGCCAGACAGCTTTGGAGGAAAGCCCTTGGGGGATGTCCGACAGGTGAACCTTGGTGGGCAGGTAAAGGGTGAGGCCTTTATTCTGAAGTCCGCAGGGCACTGTGCTGGGCTTTGGCAGGGTGGCCGGAGAGGCCTCGGCTGTGCAGACAGGGTCAGACTGGAGACCTGTGCTGGGCCCAGCTGGAGCGGAAGGTGGACCCTGCAGGGGACTGGAGGCAGGGGCATGGGGGTAGCCGGCAGCAGTGCCCATGCTGGTGGGGTGGAGGGTGCCCCGAGGTGAGGGGTGTGTGTGGCCCACTGCCTGGGATGGACAGGAGAACCAGCTGATTCGGGGTGGGGGTGCCCTGTGGCACCCAGTCAGGAGAAGGGGGTTGGCTGGAGGGGAGGAGCTGACTGTGCCTGTGAGGGAGCTGGGCCAAGGGGAGGAGTTTGGGGAAGAGGGCTGGGCCCCACGGTACTTCCTGTGGCCTGCGGGGGCCTGCACTGGGCTGCAGGGTGGGCCAGAGCTCGGCCTGTCTCCTCTTCCTCCCGTTTTCTCTCAGCTTTAACGGGTGTGGTTTATATACTCTTAAGTCCACGCATTTAGTGATACCAGCACAGGAAGTGCGAGTGCACAGTCCGCACCATTTCCATCACCCACAAAACTGCCTTGGCCTGGCGGCTGTCACGCTGCGCTCCGTCTCCCTCCGGACCGCCGCTCACCTGCCTCCTGCCCCCTGTCTACACCTTTCCTTTTCTGGCCATTCGGCCCCCTGTAGTGTCTCGTCCCGCCTCTTCCGTTCCTGAGCTTCCCGCGAGCTGTGCCGGACGGGGTGGGGGGGGCGCGGGCTGGTGTGGGTGCTGACCCGTGACCCGCCGCCCGCTGACCGCACAGCGGGTGGCCTGGGGGTTTGTTTGGGGCTGTCATGAACAAGGCCGCTATGAACTTCCATCAGTGTGAACACGAATGCTGGTAGATCTGTGGTGCTGTCTTGGGTCGTTTGGTAAACTGCTAACTCTGAAAAGACGCCAAACTGCTTTCCAAAGTGGCAGGAAGGAGAGGCTGAAGGTTCAGCACCGAGGGGGGCGGGGGAGGCCGGCCCGGCACTGGAAGGGCGGCGGACGACGTGGGGAGGAAGGACGGGCGGGGGTGAGGAGGCGGAGGATGGACGGGGCAAGGGGGTGGGGGAGGACTGAGGACAGGCCTAGTGGGGGACAGAGGACAAGCGGGGCGGGGGGGGCGGTAAAGGGGGAGGGCGGACGGGGAAGGGGCAGAGGGAAGCTGGTGTGGGAGCTGGCCGGGCAGAAGCTGGACGGGAGTCCGTCTGGGGGGTCTGCAGATGCAGGTTCAGCAGGGAGAGTCCTCTGCCCACGTCCTGTGGGCTGAGCTGTCAGGGCGGGTCAGGCCTGGTGGTTGCTGCGGGTCGGGGCGCCCCCTGGTGGCCGAGCCGGAGAGGGCTGGGCGCAGGCCAAGGGTCGCCCCCTCGGGTCGGCGGCGCCGGGTTACGCTGCCCTCCCGGCTGCAGGGGGCGCCTCGAGCGTGGCCGTGGACCTGCCTTCGGTTGCTAGCCTGCCAGTGGGGCGGTGGGTGAGGCACTGATTGGTGGGGTCTGGACAAAGCGCGTGTCTGGTACCACTGCGATTGGCTGTGGAGGGCGGGCACTGCGCAGCTTTCAACGTTGATTGCTCTCTGCCGCACGGGAAATGCCTCCGCACCGGGCAGAAGAGATTGCACTCAAACACTGGGGGCCCCGCTCATTGGGCCGAGGCCGGGGGCGTGTCCCGGCCCGCGCGACGATTGGGCGCAGGCGCAGCAAAGGAGACACCGGCGGGGTGATTGGGCGCGGGGACTGGGCGGCAGCGGCGGCGCGCGTTCCAACGGAGGCCTGCGCCGGCAGCATGGGGCGGCGGCGGCGGCGCCGGGGTGACCCGGAGGACGCGGCCGGGGCCCTGCCCGAGGCCATCGCCGCGCTGAGTCGGACCCTGCCCGCTGGGCCCAGCCCCGAGACCTTCCGCCGCGCCAAGTTCGACCGTCCGGAGGCGGTGAGGCCAGCAGGGTCGGCAGCCGGGCTCGGTGGGCCTCAGGAGGACTCAGGGAAGTGGCCGGTCCCACTGACCGCCAGTCTGGGATCCCCGCAGGCTCCCGCGCTCTGGCGGCTACTCTTGCGTGTGCTCTCGCCGTTGCCGGTTGACGGCGCCAGGACTCCCCTGGCCCCGGGTAAGCCCGCCTCCCCTTAAGCCCGCCCCGGTCGGCTCTGGCCCCGCCCACCCACGGCACTGGCCCCGCCCCCACGAGCCCTGAACTCATCCTGTTGGCTCTCCATGGTGTCCCTCCAAGCCGGGCCTCTGCTGGGGGTCGTGCGGGGGCTCTGTTGGGGTCTGGGTGGTGTCACCCCAACGGGTGGCCTCTGAGCCGGCGGAGTCCTGCCTGCCCGCAGAGGCCGAAGCCCGCGCGGTGAGGTTGGCGCTGCGCTCCCGGGGCTACCCGAGGTGGACGCTGGCCCAGCTCCCCGACGACGGCGCCCATGGCAGCCGCGAGCTGCTGCTGGCCCTGGCCTGGCTGCTGGCCCGCGGGCCCCTGCTGGAGCAGCTGCTAGTCCAGACCCGCGTGCGGCTGGGCGACGAGATGCCCGTGTGCGAGGTGGGTGAGGCGCGGCTTCCAGGGGAGGATGCGGGGCCTGGGCCTCCACTGGCTCCCTGGCCTGGCCCCTGCCTACCCTGCACCTTCAGGGCAGAATGGGCTCCCACTCTCCCTGACACCGGGACCCCTGAGCTCTCACCCCAGGGGCCTCCTTTCTCTACTTGTGCTGAGTCTCTGCTGGGGTTGTGGGAACAGGGAGTGATCCTCGTCCCTTGCACAGTGCAAGGCCCTGGCCAGCCCTGGCTGGTCTGCACCACGTGTGGAAGCAGACAGCGGAGTGGATGTCCGCCACCTGCAGTGGCTGATGGGAAAGCTTCAGTTCCGGTGGCGAAACCTGATGGTCAGTCAGCAGGAGCAATGTACCCTCCTGGGCAAGGTAGTGCCACCGTGTGTCGGCCACCCCGGCCCAGCCCAGGCTGCGGTCTGTCCTCAGGCGGGATGTGGAACTTTCCCGGCCTGGCTGGGGGGTCACAGGCTGGGTACTGCACTGGGTGCCCAGAGCCTGAGCCCAGGGCCTCAGGTAGTCCAGGACAGGGTCTAGAGCAGGCAGAGCTGGCATTGCTGGGGCCGGGGCCAGTGGGGCAGGAAGCCTGCAGGGTTGGCCGTCTTGTCGCCAAAGTCACCCGAGGCCTCAGGCTGTGTGTCGCCAAGCAGTGTGGTCGTCCTCAGGCTCTAGGGTGGTGGCTGCTGCGCGGGCACACAGCGGTGGGGAGACACTTCCCTTCTCCTCCTGCATCCTTGGTGTGGGCTGGTGGGCAGTGGGCAGCTCCCACGTGTCCTGAGGGCTGGTAAGACACAGCTCTGGGGGCGCAGGTGTCCCCCACAGGTCCAGTGCAGCCGACTGAGGGTTGG